TTTGGGGGGGGGAGGGGTGTCGGGAAGGGAGAAAGGGGCTGTTCCGTGCCTGGAGTTGGTGCCGACTATTGGTAAGTTATGCGCATATTAATGTGATAATGTAGTAGTCACTGTTAGAGGTAGACTGTTCAGAACAACAAGAAAAGATATTGTTGGAATTTTTTTAAATCGTTGATGGGTTGTTTTGTTTGTTTGTGTTTGTTTGTTTTTTTTGGTTTGTTTTACAGGTTTTGACTATTTACACTAATGATGATTATAATTAATCAGCGTGCGCTGGGTAATACGTACCATTTACACTTTCTCAACAAATCGGTGTATTTACATGTTGTAGGTATTAGCAGTCAGTCACGAGTCCCCAGCTGTAAAGCGTTTTGGGATTTTGTGTCTTTTTCTCCAAAGTGTGCCTATTTTTTTAGAATAAGGAATTTTCCTACATTATTTGTTTACTTTTCTGTCTGTATCTGCATATTCCTTTCTTTATCTTCCTCTTTCTATATCTGCTTCTCTAACCTCGTCTAGATGTAAGTTCAGTCGACATCTATATCTGTCTGTCTGCCCGTATGTCTGTCTGTGTGTCTGCATGAATATCTGTCTGTCTGTCCTCAACATCTCTTAAGCTTTCTCTCTCTCTCGCTCTCGCTCTCTCTCTCTCCCTCTCTCTCTCTCTCTCTCTCTCTCTCTCTCTCTCTCTCTCTCTCTCTCTCTCTCTCTCTCTCTCTCTCTCTCTCTGATGTATTTCGTATACCAAGAAGCCCTGGGTTCGGACTTCAGTTTGACCCGACCTCGTGATCTTGGGAAAGGCATTCGACACCAATTACCTATTTTGCTGGGTCGTTTCAGAGATGGAAGTTAAACACAGAGATCCTTCCGCTTAATGAAGGAACCTAATAACGTTTCTAGAGGAGTTCAATGTACTGTATTATTTAACATTTCTATTTCAAGGAGCCCTATTCGGAATGTCCGTGGGTCTGTGTGCTAGCTTCAGCCGTGCGTCCCAACTAGAAGGCGGCTTAGCCAACTTTCTCCAAAACACCGCCGACGGATACGCGGTTTTGGCCGGCTCTGCTTCCTGCCTATTTGGCTCCCTCCTGGCAACCATCGTCATCTCCTTGGCAACGCATCGCATCAAAACACCGGAAGATGAAGCGCGAGAATGGCAGAAGCTGAGGGACATCGACAATCCGCTGAGACCGTGGGTGGATGGAATAAAGGAGGATGGCTTGTGCGTTGGGGGAGGAAAGCGACCGACCTATGAGCAGCTTGATAAACATCACAGGTTTCTCATCATCATCATCATCCTCATAATCATCATCATCATCATCATCATCATCATCATCATCATCATCATCATCATCATCATCAGATTATTATTATTATTATTATTATTATTATTATTATTATTATTATTATTATTAGGCCTTATTATTATTATCATCATTGGTTTTTTTAATATCCTGATCATTATCAATATCATTATTGATATTATTATTATTATTATTATTATTATTATTATTATTATTATTATCATCATTATTATTATTATTATTACTCTCTCTCTTTCGCTCACACACGCACACACACACACACACACACACACACACACACACACACACACACACACACACACACATACACACACACACACACACACACACAAACACACACAGTAACACCCCCCCCCGCCCCCACTCACACACACTCACAGACCCACACTCTCTCACCACTCATAATATTCTCTCGCATCCACTCTCATTCTCTCTGTCCCTCTGTCCCTCTGTCTCTCTATCTCTCTGTCTGTCAGTCTCTCTCTCAACCAATCAAAGTATTATTATTATTATTCTCTATCTCCCCCCCCCCCCCCCCCCCTCTCTCACCAAACAGACTGGCAAAAATTGTCACAATCGCTGGTGTGAGTGTCATGATCGCCGTGTTCGTATTCATCATCCCAGGCTTCATGGCCGCGCTACACACTATGACGTCATCAGAACTCCAGAGCTGGCTGATGACGCTACACATCTGGTGTTTCGTCACCGCGGTTATCGTGCTGTTCTTGACCCCCGCTGAGGAGGTCAGGAGTATTTTGAGGAACCTGAGGAGGAAGGCAGGAGGAGAACGACGGCGTGGGGTCAGGGGTCGGGTGTCGAAAGGGGGCTCCTCCAGAAGTCAGGAAGAGGTCGCTGCTTTGCCCCGCGATTGCAAAGACTGTGACGTAGACGAGGATAATGTCATTGATGACGACGGGCAGTCCAGGACGAGGCTGACAGCGGAACATTCCAGTTGCAGTAACGGGTTAGGAGTGTTCCAAGTGGAGAATGTGTAAGAAAAAAACACAACAAAAAACGGAAATAAAAACCAACCCCCCCCCCAAAAAAAAAACAACCAAAAAACCCCCCCACAAAACAACAACAACAATAATAATAACCAAAAGACCCCCCACCCCCTAAAAAAAACCCACCACCACCACCAACAACAACATTAACAACAACAACAACAACAACAACAACAACAACAACAACAACAACAGCAACAGCAACAACAACAACAATATTAATAAAAGCAAGAAAATCAGGTATTATTATAGGTAAATTATTTTTAGAAAATAACTTTCAGAAAAAAAACTGTTTTAATGTGGGTGTTTTTATCCCACCCTCCTTAACGAAACAAAATACTCATAAAGCAAAACAATTTTTTTTTTAAATGACACAATTGAGATCACATAGGAGGTGTGCTTCTACCTTCCCAATCAGGGCCACCCTGTGTTGAGAGGGATACAGTATCCCTGTAGATTGATCGAGAAACTGGATAAGAGTTCTCACCTTTCGGAAATCGAACTCAGGTGTCCTGTGTGCGACGCAGAAGCGACTAACCCGTTACACCACAGACGTCTGTGTGTAGGCCAGTAGTTGCTTGTGACCCTGTTCTAGTTCTATAGCCAGTGCCAACTTTGACGACTTTTATTAAGAAGCTAGCATTTTCTTTAGAGCTGGGCGACGAATCGATTCCGGAACCGTTTTCCACGATTAATGCTACGGAAGAAAAGTATGGCCCCCTTTTTATGAATACCAAAGGATCTTCTTCTATCTTTTAAATTAAAGAATTTACATTTGAAAAATAAAAAGTGATACTTTGTAGTGTTCCAAAATCATGGTTATCCTAAATCCTGAAGACGTTTGGAGCCAATTAAGTAACCACCGGAAGAAATCAGATCATTAGAACTGGGTTCGGAGTCGATTCATACGATTCCTAGCTTTCAACAATCGGGAACCTAGCTGCCCAGCACTAATTTTCTTATCTCCCACCTACATGCACAATGAGCGGTTTAGCGCAGCAATTTGATTATTAACTCAGCGAAAAGAAAAACGAAAAACAAGCCCAAAAAACTCCACAAACAACAACAACAGCAGCAACAACAACAACAACAACAACAACAACTACAGCTACAACAAAAACCCAGCATAAAAACAGCAAGAACCCCCCCCCCCCCACCCCGAAAAATCAACCAAAACCTAAGACAAAGTTCGTACGAACATTTATGATACTTTTACATCCGTAGGCTACAGACGCACATGTAAGTTGTTCTTTTTAAAAATATTATTTATGTATTTGTATAACTCAAATCAGAAATATGGACGTAAAAATCGGACAATATGGTTACTGGCAAAGCATGGCTGAACATGATCGATTCTAAATGTGTGAGTGAAAGAGTGGGTATGTGAAAATACATACGTGTACATACATCTGATATGTTGATAACTCTACGCAATATATTATTATGTAATACAAGAAACGACCCAGTGCCTATTAACTTTACACCTTGTCTCAACATGGATTTTCAAAACGAATATGCCTTAGAAAGTCTTTTCTGTAGATTATAAACTTTACTGCATAAAACTTTTGATTGTCGATGGGAACTTGGTAATTCTTTCTATTTAATGCATAAATTTCTGTGTCTATTTGTTCTGTGCCATTCTGCAGTTAAAAGTGTATATGCACAACTTCCCAATATACAGACAGTATGAGAGAGAGAGAGAGAGAGAGAGAGAGAGAGAGAGAGAGAGAGAGAGAGAGAGAGAGAGAGGGGGGGGGAGAGAGAGAGTGAGAGAGAAACAGAGAAAGACAGAGAAAAAGATAGGGAGATTACAAGTGAAAGCGTGGGCACATGTTTATGTGAGGCAGCGTGGTGGAATCAGGCTCTTGTCAAAATAATTAAAGTGAAGAAACTTGCATTTTTCCGCAGGTTTATGAATTTTTATCAAATTTTTGTTTTTTGCCTCAACACCTTTCATGCCCATTAAAGAACTCATTTCGGTGTGGATTTTTCTGAAAAACGTTGAATAAAGGCACACAAAATGTAAATTTTCAGTTACCACGGACTCTTAAGCTAAGGAAATAACTAATCTTTGGCGGACATTTTCTCACTAATTTTTTCCTCTGAAAACAAGTGACCCCCACCTCCTTCTTTTTCTCAAATATCTCGACTTGTATATTCAAGATAAATGGATATTTTTTAAATCCAAATAAAGACAAGTGAACACGCTTTAAAATGATACCAATAACTCTACATGCCCAAAAATTAACGAGAGCCTGATTCCACCACGCTACCTCACATATAATAATAATTATATCATAAAAATTATATAATTATAATAGTACATATACATTCTGTTTTTGTGTGTGTTTTTTTTTGTCAAGTGAAAAGTGGATGGTTTCGGGAAACAACATCTAGCCCAATGCCAGGTGACAGAAGGCGTGGGTAGGGTAGAAAGATCAATCAATCAGACTTTATGATATTATATCTCATAGATTTTGATAAAAATAAAGGTACTTTTTTAATGTGATTTTATTTCCCTTCTTTTTTTTACACGTAATCTTGAAATAATAACTTTGTTTCTCTTGGTGGATTCTGATGTGTATCCAGGCCACAACAGCAACAGCAAAGACAGTAACAAGCTAAAACAAGAACAAACGAAATCAGACAATAACAACAATAACAGCAACAACAACGATAACAACAACAACAACAACAACAACAACAACAGCAACAAAAACAGAGACAACATCAACAACAACAATAACAACAACAACAACAACAACAACAACTACAGCTACAACAAAAACCCAGCATAAAAACAGCAAGAACACCCCCCCCCCCCCCCCCCACCCCGAAAAATCAACCAAAACCTAAGACAAAGTTCGTACGAACATTTATGATACTTTTACATCCGTAGGCTACAGACGCACATGTAAGTTGTTCTTTTAAAAAATATTATTTATGTATTTGTATAACTCAAATTAGAAATATGGACGTAAAAATCGGACAATATGGTTACTGGCAAAGCATGGCTGAACATGATCGATTCTAAATGTGTGAGTGAAAGAGTGGGTATGTGAAAATACATACGTGTACATACATCTGATATGTTGATAACTCTACGCAATATATTATTATGTAATACAAGAAACGACCCAGTGCCTATTAACTTTACACCTTGTCTCAACATGGATTTTCAAAACAAATATGCCTTAGAAAGTCTTTTCTGTAGATTATAAACTTTACTGCATAAAACTTTTGATTGTCGATGGGAACTTGGTAATTCTTTCTATTTAATGCATAAATTTCTGTGTCTATTTGTTCTGTGCCATTCTGCAGTTAAAAGTGTATATGCACAACTTCCCAATATACAGACAGTATGAGAGAGAGAGAGAGAGAGAGAGAGAGAGAGAGAGAGAGAGAGAGAGAGAGGGGGGGAGAGAGAGAGTGAGAGAGAAACAGAGAAAGACAGAGAAAAAGATAGGGAGATTACAAGTGAAAGCGTGGGCACATGTTTATGTGAGGCAGCGTGGTGGAATCAGGCTCTTGTCAAAATAATTAAAGTGAAGAAACTTGCATTTTTCCGCAGGTTTATGAATTGTTATCAAATTTTTGTTTTTTGCCTCAACACCTTTCATGCCCATTAAAGAACTCATTTCGGTGTGGATTTTTCTGAAAAACGTTGAATAAAGGCACACAAAATGTAAATTTTCAGTTACCACGGACTCTTAAGCTAAGGAAATAACTAATCTTTGCGGACATTTTCTCACTAATTTTTTCCTCTGAAAACAAGTGACCCCCACCTCCTTCTTTTTCTCAAATATCTCGACTTGTATATTCAAGATAAATGGATATTTTTTAAATCCAAATAAAGACAAGTGAACACGCTTTAAAATGATACCAATAACTCTACATGCCCAAAAATTAACGAGAGCCTGATTCCACCACGCTACCTCACATATAATAATAATTATATCATAAAAATTATATAATTATAATAGTACATATACATTCTGTTTTTTTGTGTGTTTTTTTTGTCAAGTGAAAAGTGGATGGTTTCGGGAAAGAACATCTAGCCCAATGCCAGGTGACAGAAGGCGTGGGTAGGGTAGAAAGATCAACCAATCAGACTTTATGATATTATATCTCATAGATTTTGATAAAAATAAAGGTACTTTTTTAATGTGATTTTATTTCCCTTCTTTTTTTACACGTAATCTTGAAATAATAACTTTGTTTCTCTTGGTGGATTCTGATGTGTATCCAGGCCACAACAGCAACAGCAAAGACAGTAACAAGCTAAAACAAGAACAAACGAAATCAGACAATAACAACAATAACAGCAACAACAACGATAACAACAACAACAACAACAACAACAACAGCAACAAAAACAGAGACAACATCAACAACAACAATAACAACAACAACAACAACGATAACAACAACAACAGCAACAACAACAGCAACAAAAACAGAGACAACATCAACAACAACAATACAAACAACAGCAACAACTACAACAGCAGCAAAAATAACGACATTGTAAAATGCTTCAAAATGGGTACAAAGACACCATTTCCACCAACAACGATAGTGCCCCCAAGAATAATCTTTTGTTTGTCTATATCTCTCTCCCCCCCCCTCTCTCTCTCTCTCTCTCTCTCTCTCTCTCTCTCTCTCTCTCTCTCTCTCTCTCTCTCTCAATCTTATTACTGTTTGTAAGTGTGTGTGTGTTTGTGTGTATCGATGGGCAGTGGGTGTATGGAGTGGACCGATGTTTTTGTTTTTTTTTT